TCCATCTATAGCGTGTCTAGCAGAATGTTCCCAGTCCTGTTAAAAGCTGAGTTGTCAGGTAGCATCGAGAAATCAGATCAAATGAAACCAGCCCACAGATTGCACAATAGCTACAGCGGACTTCTGACCATAAGCAGAGAGAGCTATAAAGCCAAGATTGGAACAGGAGAATCTGCTTCCAGTGCCTGAACTGACTGTACTTTCCATTGAGCATTCATTGCATGGGAGCTGGTGAAAGTGCCCCATCACAGTGTCTATAACATGAGGCACAGAAGTGCAAGCTGCTTCACCCCTGCCTTACCATTACATAAAAACAGCCAGACTGAGTCAGACCAAAGGTCCATCTAGCTCAGTATTCTGTCCTCTGACAGTGCCTGATTCCTTGTTCTGTTCACTCCCTCTGGGCATTTAAAATTGGGAAACACTGGTCTAGAGCAACAATGGGCAAGATATGGTGCATGGGTCAGATCTGGCCCCACAAGCCTTTTAATGCAGCCTCCCCCTCAAAGCGACTGGCTGCTCCTGTGGCTGTGGGCTGCAAGGGGAAGTGGGAGAGGCTTTGCACGCTGTTCCCACCCCTAGCCATAGGAGCTGAGCAATTTTGCTGGAGGCGGGGTTAGCATGCCACGCTTCCCCGCAGCACAGAGCCATGAAACAAAGCGGTCTGTGGCTGCTGGCAGGCAGGGAAGCCTGCTTGAGAGTGCTGCTGGCTAGGAGCTGCTTAGGTAAGCGTCTCCTGGCCAGAGCATGCCTCTGGCACCCCACCTGCTCCTGCACCCCAACTCCCTGCCATCCCTGCTACATCCCTCCCCCGGGCTAGAATCCTCTTCTGCAACCAAACCCCCTCCTGGACCCTGCACCTCAACTTCCTGCTTCTAGTCACTACCCCCTACTTCACTCAAACTTCCTCTGAGACCCCATACCCTCTCCTGCACCCCAGTCCCCTATCCCAAGCTCTCTTGCATCTGACCTCCATCACAGACCCCGCACCCCCTCCATAGAAAAGTGTGGTCCTTAACCATTTACAAATCTTGGAGTGGCCTCCCCATCAAAAATTAATACCCACCCCAATCTAGACTGCAGGGCTAAGGCTTAGATCTCTTGCCATGCCCTCTGGAGTGTGCAGGCTTGGGTAGAGATCAGTATATAACAGGGAACACAGCAAGAGTAAAACCAGGCTCCTCCTTGCTTCAGTGGCTCAGCGTATGGAGTGGGTGCAACCTCCGCTTGACCTGGGGCTGAGGAGAAAGCGAAGCGAGATGCAGGACATAGCCCATGCCCACTTGTTCCTCTCTGTCCCCCTCTTTCTGTAACCTCAGAAGGAAATTCACAGGCTGTTTCAGGGCCCTTTGGTGGCCTGGCTGAGTTACTTCCTGCAGGTGCGTGGGTGAGACGAGCTGGAGGCAGGGAGTGTGAGAGTGAAACGCTCTGTGTATTACTGAAACTCTCCTGGTATGTGACACCAAGTTCAGCAACGCCTCTCTGCAGCCTTTCAGTTTCTGTCTATTCATGCTGCAGCTGAGTCAGGCCCCAGAGGTCTTCCATGTACAGGAACCTTTCTGCTCCTTGACCCTGCTCTGGCGTGCATCTGTGTGGCATTCCTTTGGCATGTGTGAACCCAAGAATGATTCAGCTGGTTTGCTGAGCTACTGTGGGGTGGGTTGCTCAAAGACTTGGCTTAAATGTAGGCTGAAAAAATTCATAGCTTAACTCTTGGTGTCCTCTTCTTGGGTAGGAGATCCCTGTATGAATATCTATCGGCAAATGGCAGAAACAGTGATGTCTAATGACTGGCACTGGGAGGGCTCAAATCACAGCCTTGCTATTGCCTGACAAGTCACATTGCCCCTCAGTGCCTTGGTTTCCCCAGCTAAGAGAGGGTGCAATATGCTAGCAAATTTTGCTACTACTAGTGCTCTTCTATTCTGCATCTGCTGCTATACATTCCTAGTGTCCCTGATAACCAGCTATGAATAACTAGCATCTGTCCTCTGGTCTCTTGTCTCTCTCATCCAGTTTTGTTTGGGGCTTGTTCATCCCCATGCAGCTCTGTGCGCATTGGAGGCGGCAGGCTGAAGAGTTGTGCCTGGAACTTGAAGCAGGAAGTGGTGAGGTTTGGGATAGTCCTTAATGCCCATGGGGGTTTGTTTTGCCATCTCAGTCAGGCCCCGGCGGAAGCTCTGTCTTCTGCACAGGCTGGTGGTGATTTTATGTGCAGGCTGGAAGCCGGAATGGAGACAGGATGAGAGTGCTCTGACTTCCTGCTATTACAGTGCAGCCTGCTCATATGGACAGAGCTCAAGGAACCACTCCGGCTCCATATGGCACCCACGCCCTAATGGAGTATCTGTCTACTGTGGTTCTGTGCTCTCGATTAGTGCGCTCCTTTGTGCTCTCCCAGCATCCCACATGAGTTCTTGTTGGAATTTATGGCATGAGTGTCTCTCTGAACCTAGAACATATTTCAAGACTGTAGTCTCTTTCAACCAAGAATTTCAAAGCACTTTACAACCATCTCTCTCAAACTCACGATGCTGTCGTGGCGATCCCATTGCCCGGTGAGTGTGAGTAACTTGCCAAAATCACTAAGAAAGCAGGTGACAAAGGCCAGGGATCCTACTCCTGGTTCCCTGTGGTAATCACTATTTTCACTTTTTTCCATCCCCCTCTGAGTGCTTTAGTGGTCACATGTATCACACCTTCTACATTTCTTTGGTCTCTCTTTGCACAACCACAGCTCCTGACTGATGGGTTCATACACTTGTTCTGGTTTCACTTTTGATTTCCTTGAATTGGCATTGGATAGACTTGAATTTTTGTGAATTCTGGAGCTTCTGCAACCCAAGAAGCACCTTGACTTTCCTGCTCCCGAGGAAGTGTTACAAGTTATTTATAGTTTGGTGCATATTGCAATATGCACCATGCTGTATGTGATGCAAGCATATTGCAAAATTGTTTTGCATAACTTCCTATTAGTTTCATTAGCTTGAAGACAAAGTTCTCATTTCTGTATATATTTTAGAACCACCTGTCTGTGTCTCTGCAAGTCCATTTGTTCAAGAACTTCTCCTAAACAGTAAGAGCTAGGACCACCAGTTTGGTATGCAGCTTCCCCTTCTCCTAACTTAAAGCAAGGTCAGGGTTTGGTTGTGCCAGGAAAATGGGAAGTGCCTGGAATAGCAGTTTTCCATAACATGGAAAGGGAAGGGGCAGAGAGGAGGGATGCGATAATGCACAGTCATGGCTGGGGGCAGTGAGCGCAGGGGACAGCTATACTGCAGAGTGACCACCCGGGGCAACCACACTAGGAAGCGAGTGCCAGCTGGGGACAGCAATGCCTGGTAAGTCTTCTAATACAGCTATAATGGAGTTAACTGCTTGATTTTCTGGCAGAGTGGATCTGATAGGGTATTCGTGTTCTCTTGGGCCCTAGTGGTTGTAGGCATATTTCAGCAAGGATCACGTCAATGTTATCCCTGCAGTGCTAGCGAGTGACCTTTTTAATGATGGGTTGTATTATTGCATGGGGGGTCCTTGAACTCTCCGCAGTAGTAGCACTGCTGCGACAAGATGGAGGATCTTGGGGAGAAAGTGCTGAGTGCAGAACAGAGCTCAGGTTTCCAGCATTGAGGTGGGCTAGGAGAGGAGGTTAAAATACACCCCCATCAGTGGTGAGGGAGCATTTTCCACAACTGCTGTGGCACTGCCCAGGGATCATTACTGAAATGAGATGTGGGGGGAAGGGTCCGAGAGAACACCGTATTGACCAGCGAGATCCAGGAATTATATTATTGTTTCCCTAGGTAGAACTGTTGGCTGTTGTAACAATTAATGCTTTGTCTGGTCTCTGTGTCAGTAAAGTTATCGACCTGTTGAAACTTCCTAATTAAAGACATTGGTTAATAAATAAATTAGAGAACAGGGTCTTCTAGTGCTTCACTGAGGCTCTGAGACAGTGGTGGACAACCTGTGGCCCATGGACCCCGTCTTCTCCCATGCACCTCTCGCACGCTGGGGCACCGGAGCCCTGTACTTCCTACTTCTCTTCCTAGCTAGGGTTGCCAGGTGTCCGGTATTCATCCAGACAGTCCGGTATTTTCACTTCCTGTCCGGTAAAAAAAAATTCAGAAAATACTGGACACCTAAGATGTCCAATATTTTCTGGTTTTTTGTTTTTTTGTTTTTTTCTTCCTCCCCCATCCAGGAGGCGAAAATCTGGGCACCTGACAATGCTACAAACACTCAGCACCTGGCCGGCCCCCAACTCCTTCAGCCCCCGCGACCCCATGCTTACCTGATTCCGCAAGGCTGCTGGCATAAAATGGCTGCTGGCAAAAGACCATGGGGAAGCAATGACTCTGAGTCTTAGTGCTCAACCGCTCCCTTGTTCCTATCCCTGCACTCAGTCTTAAAGGGGACATGCTGTTTTATGCTAAATTTTTTTCTCAACTTTGGTCCCTCCCCCCCCCCCCCTTTTTTTTTCTTCAACAGAATTTTTTCCTGGTGGCTTTTTTTGAGGGGGAGGGGGATGGGTGTTCGGTATTTTTGTTTCAACCATCTGGCAACCCTATTCCCAGCATTTGAGTACATTAATTGCCTGATTCATGCTCCATCTGCACTACTCCTGCTCCCTTAAAGAGCCTGTGCAACTGCACACAGCTGATTCACAATGTTCCAGCTCTGGGGAGGAGCAGGCATGGAGCACAAATCAGGTGATTTGCATCATTCCAAATGTGCTGGGAAGAAGCAGGAGGAGTCGGACGTGTGCGGCTCCAATGCCCCAGGGTGCAAGAGATGCATGGGGAAGAAGAGCACTGGGGGGGCCAAGGGCCCACTCTCTGTCTTTGGTTGCCCTTCACTTTTTCTGAGGGGAACCAGGACTAGAACCCACAGCTCTAGAGTTCCACTCCTGTCCCACTGCATTCAGAAGCTCTGGCAATGGGGCGTGGTGGGCCTGTAGCAATGGGCTCTCACCCTGTGTCTTCTGCTCCCCTTCCCAGGACATGAACGGCATGGAGGAGGTGGTGGAGTTCCTCCCCACCATGAATGCCAAGAAGGTGGAGAAGCGCGGCCCAAAGCGTTGGATGGTGGTGACTGCTGTGCTGCTCATCTTCCTGCTCATCTCCCTGATGGTGGGCCTCCTGGTGTGGCACTTCAAATGTGAGTGTGGGGCGTGGCAGCCCTGGATCTGAGGGCTTTAATTACCACACCTGCTCCTAAATGAGCTGCCCAGAGATGATGTTTGCTACTTTTTGGATCCAGGGGCCCCATTGTTTCGGCCCCTGCATAAACACCAAGGAAGAATCCGTGCTTGCAATCAAAGCTGGCCACCTCTCTGCTTGGTCTGTCCAGCACAACTCAGTTGCCCTGCCTGGGAGGCAGGTGCACCCTCGTTGGTGGCTCCTTGGTGACTGACTCACGAGGTACTGTGGGTGAAAATGGGGGGCCATTCCGTGGGTATCTGGCACTGGAGCATCCCAGCCCCTCCTCTTTCCTGCCTCTGGCATGCAGCATTCGAGTCTCCTCTGGGCTGCACTTTGATGCCCATGTGGCTGTATGTGACTAAACGCCTGTTGTCAGACTAGATCATCTGGCGACGTTCTGGCCATAGCTCCATAGCTCAGCATGTGGTGGTTTTCCAGTGGTTAGAGTCAGAGGCTGGCTACCAGGACTCCTGGGTTCTCTTCCCAGCTCTGCCCCTGCCCTTTGTAAGCCCTGCTTCAGAATTTGGGCCAGACCCAAGAACCTCACTTCGTAAAACCAATTCAACCCACTGATGTGCCTGGGCTGCGAATTCCTTGGTGCAGGAAATGGGGGATACTCATCTCCCAGGCTCCCTTGCTCTGACTGCCACACAGACATCCCTTCTCTTTCTGACTTGGCGTTTCCCAGATCGGAGAGCTCCCATCCAGAAGGTTTACAATGGCCACCTCGTGATTCAGAACTGGAACTTCATTGATGCCTATGAGAACTCCAGCTCCCCACAGTTTGCTGCGCTCTCCAAGAAGGTGCAGCACACGGTAAGGGACTCACTCACTCAGCTCCACTGTCTTCCACCGCAGAACTTGTCTGTGGTGCTTGGTCCTGCACTATGCCCTGCAGCCCACGTGGCGCTTTCTACCCTGATCCTTTTGCCTGGCTTCAGTAACAGGCTTCTATGTGTCCACCCAAGCTCAGGGCTGTGGAAAGGGGTCATGGCGCCAGCTGTGTAGGACCCTGTTCCTCAGGTACCAACACCCCTTCCTCTACATCCAATTGTTGAAGGATCACCTCATACTGAAGTTCCTTTCTGAGACTTTGGAAGTGCCTAAATAAGGACTCTGGAGCCTTGTGTAGGTTCCCAGGCTTGCAAACTTTGGCTGTGAGGTTAGGTGCTTTGTTTTGTGTGTGTGTGTGTGTGTGTGTGGTTTGCTTGCTTGCTTGCTTGCTTGCTTGCTTGTTGGTTGGTTTAAACTGACTCTGTCCTTCTAATATCCAGACCTGCTAGGAATTGAATTGCTCCTGATTTGTTTCAGTGCTTTTCTCTGTTAATGTGTGTGTCTCCCCCTCCTCCCCCCCCCTTTTTTTTTAGATTGAAGAGATTTATAAAAATAACCAAGACATTGGCCCTTATCACAAGGAGACAGTCATAACAGCATTCAGGTGGGTGCAGCATCCCTAGTGTTGGGTCCTGGGAGCAGGGAGCTGGTACGCTCTAGAAATTAGGGGGGAGGTAAAAACTCACCTTTCCTAGGGTATTGAGAGACAGCCCCACCTCACTGCAGCAATACCCCTGGGCTTCCCCCATGCCTAGACAGCAGGTCTCTGGTGCAGCTGCCTTTTGTTTTAGATTGAGAGCAAGAGTGGTTGTAACCCATTGCAATAAGTCGTCTTTCTAACACATTGCTTCTCAATTGGAGGCCTCAGGAATGTAGCACCAGACAAAATGAAGGGGCATTGGTCTGTGATGGGCCTAGTTGTGGTATTGAGGGGCAGACTCTCTACGGGGTGACTCACTCTGGCAGGGCTCTTCCCGGAACACATCTTCTGGCAAAGCCATATTCATCCTGTCTGTTCAGCTCACCACCTGCCCCAGGAGCCATAGAACCAGGCTGAGCAAGAGGTGAGCTGAGCACCCTCCTTCCCTGCAGCCTCCACTCCTGGGCTCTGAATTCAGACTGGTCCAGGTGTGGAGCAGGGCGAGCAGGATGATCGGGGAATGGAGAACCTCCCTAGGAGAGGAGACACGAGGAGCGTGGTTTGCATTAACTGAACTAAAAGAGCACTCACCATAAATACAGCAGAAGCTTAAATGCCAGTGAGGAGTTATTGAAGGTGAGCACCCATACTAGCACTAGAACAAATGGCTTTAAACTGGCCATCAGCAAGTGTAGACTTGAAGTTAGAGGAAGGTTTCTAACCATTAGAGAAGCAAGTTCTGGAACAGCATCCCAAAGGGAGCAAATAAGAGAAAACAGGCTCAAGACTGAGATTGCTGGCTTTGAGGGGATGGTGGGATGGTATGTAGCCAGCCTACAACTGCTGCTGGCAAATAACACTGGCTTCTGGAGATGGGACAGGAGTTTGGGAGATGCGGAGTTACTACAGGGAATTCTCTCTCAGGTGTCTGGCTGACGGGTCTCCCTCACATACTGGTCACTGTATTTGGGATGAGGAAGGAATTTTCCTGTGGGTTAGATTGAGAAACCCTGGAGGATCTTTTTCACCTTCCTCTGCAGAGTGGGGCCTGAGTCACTTGTGTGTTTAAACTAGAGTAAATGGTGGGCTCACAGTAACTTGATTTGAGGGTGTCAATACCTCAGCCAGACACCCTCTGTTACAGGAGGGTCTGTTACAGGAGCAGTTGTGTGACTCTGGCCCGTGACGTGCAGAGGGTCATGAGGGTCCCTTCTGACCTTAAAGTCAGTGAGCCTGAGTTTTTGGATCCTGTCCCCCTATTCCCTGGCATCTGCACACTGTCAGTATCTTTTCTCCCTTTCCCCCTGCAGTGAAGGCAGTGTCATCGCCTATTACTGGTCAGAGTTCATCATCCCGGCCTACAAGGCTGAGGCCTTCGACAAGGCCATGGCTGACAAGCAGAGCCTGATCCAAACAGTGGAGTACAAGTCACGGAACCTGATGCTGCAAGTCAAATCGATTGTTGCTTTCCGTGAGTCCTGCCTCCATTGCCCTTCTCCCCAGGGTCAGGGAACAGCCATATTCCCCTGGGGATTCTAGCTCTGCAGGCTTTTTTGGGAGGTGGAAGAGATCCATGCTTAGAGGCCTGGGAGTTGTTCTGCTCTGAGCTTTGCCATAAGCTTGCTGGGAGTGGGGGGAAGCACTCTTAAATGGGAGTTTATTTTTTGGCTTGAGAGCTCATGTTCCCTCGGCTGGGTGTGATGGGCCTGGGTACTGGGACTGGCTGGGACTCCCCCAACCCTAAGCAGGGTTAAACTGCATTTAATTTACTAATCGACGGAATTACCATCGGCTAGTCGATAAGGGGGGAAACTGCAGAGCCACAGTGGGGTTAGCTCTGGGAGCTAATCCTGTTGTGGCTCTATCTCTTTTAAATATATTAAGAGCTACCTGGCCCTTAATACATTTAAAAGGGTGAATCGCAGCAGGGGGACCAGGTATGAGCCAGGACAGTTGATTCCAGCTAATGTCCAGCCCCGCTCCTCCGTGCGTCTCCTTTTCAAATTTATTAAGAGCCTGGTGGTTAAGGCATGATTCCTGGCTCGTACCTGGTCCCCCCCACTATGCCTCTGCCTCCCCTGCCCTCCATGGAGATGGTGCTGGGAGGAACCAGCTCCTGTTCTCTCTCTTCCCTCCCCCCTCCCCACCATTGCTGTCTCTGATAGAGGCAGCAAGGGAGGGGGAAGCGACAAGTTGAGTCACTACTCATCTGTCTGATGAGCTTATGCTTATCAGATCGTCAACTAGTTGCTTACATCCTGAGGGCAGGCTCCAGGTTATGAAGGGGGAACCCCAGCTGGAATCAGGTGTTGCTTGCAGGGAAACCTAGCCCTTTCCCTTCTGCTGCTGGAGAGAGCTGGAGTTCCTCCTTCAGGACGAGACCTGGTGCATACATGCAGTGAAGTGCAAGGTCTCAGCGCTGAAGCATGTCACTTGGATTCTACAGCCGCCAGACCTGACCCTCACTCCTGTGATGTAAGGCACAATGCCAGAGTTGCTTGTTTTGGGGTCCGGGGACTACCTTCCCTGTCTCTTGCTGTCGGGGAAGATACTCTCCCCCTGTCAAACACAGGCTGGCTGGCTGCTTCTTGCTTGGCATCTGTGCAGTGAATGTGTTACTAATGAATTATGTTTTTCTCCTGTAGCTGCTGATCCGGATATAGTTCAATCTTCACGGGACAGTAAGTGTAACTCTTATTCTTTCCAGCATATATTGCCCCTGAATTGAGTTGTATGTGCTCCTCTTTTCCAGTAGGAGCATCCTGGTCTGGGCTGAAGAAGGTGGTTGTGTTTGCTAGGAGGGTTTAATTCACTGCCAGGAGAAACCTACAGATGCCTGTGATCCCAAATGCATGACTCCCTCTCCCCCACCCCTTTCCCTGTGAGTCTATCCAGGGGATTATCCAGAAGGAGCAAGTGGCCCTATCCTAAGTGGCAAGTTTTTTGCCATCGGTAGCCCAGTTTTTTCCTATTTATCTAGAACAGTAACAACTTGCACTCATCACTGTGTTCTCTCAGAACAATAGGCATCTCCTCTGTAACAATTTCCAGAGAAACTGGGCTGTACATGCCAGGGAGTCTTTAGAAATGTAAAGGTGCACAAAGAAAAGTTGTTGGAGCTTCCTGGCCTCTTATCCCATCCCTGAAATTAGTGGGGGCAAGAAGGAGGATGCTGATGCACCTTGGTGCTTCTCATCTCTTGCAGTTTAAAGCAAGAATTCCCAGTTTACAGTGTGTCTGCTTTCCCTTCTGCGATACATTCACTGACATCTGGGCCTTCTCCTCTGCCCTCCTCTCTGCAGATAGCTGCAACTTTGCCCTCCATGCCAAGGAAGGTGAAATCACCAGCTTCACCACCCCAGGCTTCCCCAACAGCCCGTACCCGAACAACGCTCGTTGCACTTGGGTTCTGAGGGCTGATGCAAACGCTGTCATCAGCCTAACCTTCAAGACTTTTGATGTGGAGCCGTGCAATGCTGGGATCGACGTCGTCAAGGTCTACAACTCCCTGAGCCCTGTGGACCCCCATGCCCTGGTGACGTGAGTGACTTTGGTGGGGCTGCCTCTTTCCGGAGGAGGGAAGGAAGGTGGTGTCCATTCACAGGCTTCTGAAGGGTGTCTACTTGGTGACTGGAATCCAGTGAAGTGCCCCAAGGGTTGCTTCTGGGTACAGTTTTGTTCAACATCTTTATTAATGACCTGGATGAGGGGATGGATTGCACCCTCAGCAAGTTCACAGATGACACTAAGCTAGGGGGAGAGGTAGATACATTGGAGGGCAGGGATAGAGTCCAGAGTGACCTGGACAAATTGGAGAATTGGGTCAAAAGAAATCTGATGAGGTTCAACAGAGTCCTGCACTTGGGACAGAAGAATCCCAAGCATTGTTACAGGCTGGGGACCGACTGGCTGAGCAGAAACTCTGCAGGAAAGGACCTGGGGATTCCAGTGAAGCTGAGAAGCTGGATATGAGTCAACAGTGCGCCCCTGTAGCCAAGAAGGCTAATGGCATATTAGGCTGCATTAGGAGGAGCATTGCCTGCAGATCTAGAGAAGTGATTATTCCCCTTTACTCGTCACTGGTGAGGCCACATCTGGAGTACTGCCTCCATTTCTGGGCCCCCCCGTTACAGAAAGGATGTGGATGCACTGGAAAAAGACCAGTGCAGGGCAACAAAAATGATTAGGGGACTGGAGCACATGATTTATGAGGAGTGCCTGAGGGACTGGAGATTATTTAGGCTGCAAAAGAGAAGAATGAGAGTGGGGTTTGATAGCAGCCTTCAAATACCTGAAGCAGGGTTCCAAAGAGGAAGGAGAGAGGCTGTTCTCAGTGACTGACAGACTGAGAAGCAATGGTCTTACGTTGCAGCAGGGGAGGTCTATGTTGGACATTAGGAAAAACTATTTCCCTAGGAGGGAGTGACGCACTGGGATGAGTTACCTAGGGAGGTGGTGGAATCTCCATCCCTAGAGGTTTTTAAGTCCTGGCTTGACAATGCCTTGGCTGGGATGATTTAGTTGGGGTTGGTCCTGCTTTGGGCAGAGGTTGGACTCAATGACTCCTGAGATCTCTTCCTATCCTATGATTCTAAATGCCAAGGAGCGAGAGGAATTGTTCAGGGTGCAGCAAAGGGGATAGGTAACAGTGATGCTGAACCATAGTAATCTTGTGCTGAATAACAAAGGAATTGTCCTGACAGCCCAAGCTGCTCTACTGGAATTAGCCTCTGAAGGAAAGTAGAATGCAGAGTCTTTAAGGCAGAGACTGAGTCTGGGACACAGTGGCGCTGCTGTCAGAGTCATCCCATAAGTCTGGAGTTCTGATTTAACAGAGTGTTGGGCTCAGCCCCAATACTAACTGAATGGGGTGAGGAAAGGGAGGGGGAGCAGAGAGTTTGCAAGGCGGAAACCAAGGTGGCAAGAGAGCTCTTGAATAAATAGGTCATTTGAAGCCTTCTTCCTGGGAGGATTAAGATAAGAATTGTGTTGAGGTGGCACTTAGAAGCCCCGGTTTGGGCTCTGCCCCATCTTGGCAGGCACTAGACAAACAGAACGAAGAGACAGCCCCAAGCTTCTTTTTAATGCATGTTCCAAATGCAGCAGTGGGTTTTTGCACAGTTGTTTGAAAACTGAATATTATTACTGTAAGCCTCTGCAAGTGAAACTGGCTGTTTTGTTTTGGTCATTCAGGAGAATAACGCAATGAATGTGCAGGTACCTGGATTTATGTCGGCAGAGGCATGTAGATTAGACACAAAGGCAAAGTCAAATGAAGCCACGATTTAAATGATCGCGGCTTCATTTACATTTAAATGGCTGCCGCGCTGAGCCGACAAACAGCTGATCAGCGCGCTAGTCTGGATGCTCCCCTGCCAACAGGGCTTACCTTTGTCGGCAGCCCCAGTAAACCTCATTCCACGAGGAATAACGGGGCTGCCGACAAAGG